AGTCACCACCTGCATTGATCCTTAACAGGAGGGTCAGTTAAACCTTTGAACCTTTGAAGCAACCACTGACTTCACCTCTCTAGCTGTGAAAGTCCTAGATGGCATCTTCTTTCAACAGAAGACTGTTTCATCTACACTGAAAATACTGTTTAGTTAGCCACCTTCATCAATAATCTTAGCTAGATCTTCTGGATAATATACTGCAACTTCCATTGACTCTTACTGCTTTACCTTGCATTTTTATGTTATGGAGATAGATTCTTAAACCATATAAACTAACCTCTGCTAGTTTCAAACTTTTCTTGTGCAGCTTCTTCACCCTTAAGCCTTCACAGAATTGAAAATAATTATGGCCTTGTTGGCCTTGTCCTGTATTATGCTTTGGCTTAAGGGAATGCTGTGGCTGGTTTGATCTTCTACCCAGACAACAAAAACTTTCTCCGTGTCAGCAATAAGGCTATTTTGCTTTCTTATCATCTTATTGTTTGTGTGTATATTGTAGTAGCACTTTTTTTTTGAGACAGGGTCTTACTCTGTCATCCAGGCTGGAATGCAGTGGTGTGATCTTGGCTCACTGCATCCTCCATCTCCCAGACTCGAGCAATCCTTTCACTTCAGCCTCTCAAGTAGCTACATGTAGCTGGGACTACAGGCATGCAACACCACACCTGGCTTTTTTTTTTTTTTTTGAGACAGAGTTTTGCTTTTGTTGCCCAGGCTGAAGTGTAACAGCACCATCTCGACTCATCACAACCTCTGCCTGCTGGGTTGAAGCGATTCTCCTGCCATAGCCTCTTGAGTAGGCGGGATTCCAGGTGCCTGCCACCATTCTAGGCTAATTTTTGTATTTTTAGTAGAGATGGGGTTTCACCATGTTGGCCAGGCTGGTCTTGAACTCCTGACCTCATGATCCACCCACCTCGGCCTCCCAAAGTGCTGGGATTACAGGTGTGACCCACCGTGCCTGGCCCACCTGGCTAATTTTTGTATTTTTAGCAGAGATGAGGCTTCACCATGTTGCCCAGTCTGGTCTTGAACTCCTGGGCTCAAGTGTTCTGCGGCCTCAGCTTCCCAAAGTGCTGGGATTACAGGCGTGGGCCACTGTGCCTGGCCAGCACTTTTAATTTACTTCAAGAACTTTTCCTTTGCACTCACTACTTGGCAAATACAAAAGGCTTTGCTTTTGGTCTGTCGTGGCTTTTAACATGCCTTTTTCACTAAGCTTAATCATTTCTAGCTTTTAATTTCAAGGGAGAGATGTGTGACTCTTCCTTTTACTTGAACACTTAGAGGTCACTGTAGGGTTATTAATTGTCCTAATTACAATATTGTTGTGTCTGAGGGAATAGAGAGACCCAGAAAAAGGGAGAGATATGGGAATGGCTGGTTAGTAGACCCAGAAAGAGGGAGAGAGATGGGAATGGCTGGTCAGCGGATGTATGACTCTTCGTTTTACTTCAACACTTAGAGGTCATTGTAGCGTTATTAATTGTCCTAATTACAATATTATTGTGTTTGGTGGGGGGAGAGAGATGGGAATGGCTGGTCAGTAGATGATGAAATTTGCGGCACCCCAAAATAATTACAATAGTAACATCTAAGATGACTGGTCACAGATCCCGATAACAGATAATAATAAGAATGAAAAGGTTTGAAATATTCCAAGAATTACCAAAATGTGACACAGACACACAAAGTGAGCAAATGCTGTTGGAAAAATGGTGCTAATGGACTTGTTTGATGTGGGGCTTCCACAAGCCTTTTATAAAAAACACATCTGTCAAGCACAGTTAAGCAAAGCACAATAAAATTAGATATGCCTGTATAAATACATGAGGAAGAATTAATGAGAAAACAGAAAGGGATAAAAGTTTACTAGCAGAACCAAGAAAATAATTGGAAGACAAAAAGAAAACCACCATTGAAATGCAGAATACTATGCAAGGGGGTGAATAGAACTTTCACCATTAGAATTATGGTACAGCAGTGTCACACTGCAAAACGACATACGGGTAAGGCGGACATTTGGATGCATCAATGGGTCTATAGGATATAGCACAAACCTCCAAGAACACCTCTCCACCCACCTATCCCACACAATAAATAAACAAAACAAAAACAAGGAACCATTAGCTAAAATCAGAGAATACTACGAACAATTTCATACCAAAATATTTGAAAATACAGATGAAATAAATTGTTAAATATAACAGATGACCCTGTATTTTTACAGATAAAGAGGAAAGTTTAATATTTATGGAAGTTACTTTGTCAACTCTGTGAAAATTAATTTGAAGATTAGAATTAGATAATTTCATAGAAAAATACAACTTATCAAAAAATAATGCAAAAGACAAATATATTTACATATATATAGGATAGTTATAAAAGGAAAAATGAAAAGAGCTGTCAAGGAAACTTCCCTCAAAAATATACAAGGTCCAAATAGCTGAACAGGTAATATCTACCAAATTTTCAAGAGAGTTATAACGCCAATGCTATATAAATGTTCCAGAGCATAAAGGAAAGCTTCCAAATTCTATTTATAAAACCAGTCTAACATTGACATTAAAAACTTAAAAAGTATAAACAAATTATTTAAATTCAGAGCAAACCTAAGAGGATGAGTCATTACTGAGAAATAAACATAAATGACCCATATACATTTTAAAAACTGTGATAATCTCCTATAGGAAAAGATTGTTTTAACTACATGAATATTTTAAAAAGTCAAGGTGGCCAAATTATACTTCAATGAGGAATAATCTTTTTGGGGAAAAAAAAAAAACACAAGAGAAACATGACAGATGATGTGCCAATGAGCTCAATATGTTAAGAGTTCATACAAATTAAGAACTCAACAGAAACAAAGGCAAAGGATACCAACTGTTTATTAAAACAAAGAAATAGAGATGAGAAACATGAAAAAATGCTTGTTTTCACTCATCATAAGGGAAATATAAATTCAAACTGTAATTAGCTACCATTTTTCACCTATCAGATTGGCAATAATTTTTGTTGTTTTTGAGGTGGAGTGTTTCTCTGTCACCAGGCTGGAGTGCAGTGGCGCGATCTCAGCTCACTGCAACCTCCACTTCCTGGATTCAAGCAATTCTCCTGCCTCAGCCTCCTGAGTAGCAGGGACTACAGGTGTGCACCACCAGGCTCAGCTAATTTTTGTATTTTTAGTAGAGATAGGGTTTCACTATGTTGGCCTCAATATAGTGAGGATGGCCTCAATATCTTGACCTGGTGATCCGACCACCTCTGCCTCCCAAAGTGCTGGGATTACAGGCATGAGCCACTGTGCCCAGACACGATTTAAAAAAAATGTGAACAGACTACATTGGCAGAAGTTACTGGTAGAAATTATTAAGGTATCTTAAGAGGGCAAAAATGTCTTTATAAAATTTGAAATACGTGTATATGCACATTTACATGTATGTGTGTGTGTGTGTGTGTATATATATATATATATGCACACATCATGTACACTTGTGTATATACATGACAAATATATCAGAAGATGGGAGCTACCAAAAAATCAGCACTGACTTAAAACTTTTATTAAAATAAAAGGGTGGTGTATGAGAGCAAAACCTAAAAATAAAAATACAGTGGCAAGTATGACTATTGGTACAAAATATAATATTTCAGACATTTAGAATGGAAGGAAGAAGATAAAGGACTATAAATGTCAGTAGGTTTATTTTAACAACTACAAATTAATGAATGTACACAAAAAGAAAGGATCCTGTATATGAAGGGGGACAGTACTTCCAAAGATGCTAATAATAGAATGATTATCAAAGTAAGGCTGGCAAGTTATTAGGAAAGGCTGGTATCTAGCACTCAGGTAAGAAAACCAGATCTCTAAGTTCTGAGGAAAGAAATTAAGAATGGCATCTAGAAATGACATCTTAAGTTTATAAAGAGTTCACACCATTGGTCACTACAGAAGTCTACAAGTGGCTGAGCATGGTGGCTCATGCCTGAAATCCTAGCACTTTGGGAGGCTAAGGCGGGCAGATCACTTGAGGCCAGGAGTTCAAGACTAGCCTGGTCAATATGGTGAAACCACATCTCTACTAAAAATATCAAAAAATTAGCTGGGTGTCATGGCACATGCCTGTAGTCCCAGCTACTTGGGAGGCTGAGGCACAAGAATCATTTGAACATAGGAGCCGGAGGAAGTTGCAGTGAGCCAAGATTGCGCCACTGCTCTCCAGCCTGGGTGACAGAGTGAGACTATATCTCAAAACAAAACAAAAAAGGCTACATGCTTTCTGATTTTTTTTTTTTTTTTTTAAGACAGGGTCTTACTCCATTGCCCAGGCTAAAGTACAGTGCTGTGATCATGGCTTACCGCAGCCTTGAACTCCCAGGCGCAAGTGATTCTCCCACCTCAGCCTCCCAAGCAGCTGGGATTACAAGTGTGTATGTGCCACCACAACTAGCTGTTTTTTTTTTTTTTTTTTTTTGAGATGGAGTCTTGCTCTGTTGCCCAGGCTGGAGTACAGTGGCACGATCTCGGCTTACTGCATCCTCTGCCTCACAGGTTCAAGCCATTCTCCTGCCTCAGCCTCTTGAGTAGCTGGGACTATAAGAATGCACTATGATGTCTGGCTAATTTTTGCATCTTTAGTAGAGTTGGGGTTTCACCATGTTGGCCAGGATGGTCTCGATCTCCTGACCTCATGATCTGCCCACCTCATCCTCCTAAAGTACTGGGATTACAGGCATGTGCCACCATGCCCGGCCTAATTATTATTATTTTTAAAAATAGAGATGAGGTCTCACTATGTTGTCCAGGCTGGTCTCAAACCCCTGGACTCAAGCAATCTTTCCACCTTGGCTTCCTAACGTGCTGAAACTACAGATATGAACCACTGTGCCCAGCTCTGAAAATATCTTTGAATAATATTTTAGAGAGATCAACCATTCACTGATTATTAATAGGGCCCTGCCCCTTTTCATCTGTCTGGTTCCTTTCCACTAACCTTGCCAGTGTCTCCTTAATACTTCTTCCTCCATCACCCATGGTTCTTCTTCTTGCTCCAATTTGAAAATCACATCAGGTTTGGTGAATGGATAGCCTGTCAAAAGGGAAGTTACACAGATCTGGGCGTACATACTAGGAACAAAGAACCACCCAAAAAGTGAGGCTGCCCAGGAAAACCAGGCTTTCTAAAGGACAAGAAATTGTGGCTTCTGGAGATGCTGTCCCTTTTTGCTCTGAAAACTGCAGCATGGACATTCACATGAGCAAAAGCATCCCAAGGCCAAGCTCACTCTAATATTTAAAAGGTCTACATATTTCAGAAACACGGCGCGTGGGGCGGGGGAGGGTACTTTCTTTCCAGAGTTTGAATTACAGTAAATTACTCTTACCCACTGTGATTAAGTTGTTATAGTTTTCTAGCATCACGTTCCGGTACAGGTTTCTCTGAGCAGGATCCAATCGCTTCCACTCCTCCTGGGTGAAGTCAATAGCCACATCTTTGAATGTCACTGTTCCCTGTAACAACACACTCCTACTCAATCTGAAGTCATCCATCTTAGGTGATTGTAAACAAAACATATTGAACCTTGTTCTGATACTAAAACCCCAGCACATTAGCAGCATCCTGTCAGTTTATATTCATTCACTAATTTAGCAAGCAATTTTTTTTTTTTTTTTTAGACAAAGTCTTGCTCTGTCACCCAGGGTGGAGTGCAGTGGCATGATCTCAGCTCACTGCAACTTCTGCCTCCCAGCTATAAGCGATTCTCCTGCCTCGGCCTCCCAAGTAGCTGGGAAAACAGGCACGTGACACCACACCCAGCTAATTTTTGTGTTTTTAGTAGAGACAGGGTTTCACCATATTAGCTAGGCTGGTCTCAAACTCCTGACCTCGTGGTCCACCTCAGCCTTCCAAAGTACAGGGATTACAGGCGTGAGCTACTGTGCCTGACGTAAGCACATGTCTTTAATATCTACCATAAGTTAAAGGGGTTCTGGTACAGGTTTCTCTGAGCAGGATCCAATCGCTTAGGTACCAGTTTATACTGAGTGTGAAAGAAATAGAAAAATAAAACTTTAACCAAGTTAAGTGGTTTGAGATCTCACACGATACCAGAGGCAGGAAAAAATGAAAGCAGGATTTTGATAGAAGCAGGGGACAGAATGATAGGTGAAATCTGTGGTATAGTGGGACATGCAACTGGAGACATCCACTGATTTAGCAGTTGTTCATGAGATGAGGAGAAATCCACATTGGAAATGAAGATTTATTGGCCATCAGCCTATGTATGTGTCTGCAGCCATGAAAATGGGATCTGACTGCTCAAAGTGTTTACATACACTGGAGAAGGGGCCACAGACAGAATCTCAGAGACAACCATGAAAAAAATGCTCTGATAACAGTTGTAACTGAAACTGTATATTAAAAAAGCTATAGAATGGCTGGACAAGGTGACTCATGCCTGTAATCCCAGCACTTTAGGAGACTGAAGCGTGAAAATCCCTTGAGCCCAGAAGTTCAAGATGAGCCTGGGCAATGCGGTGAAACTCTGTCTGTACAAAAAAATACAAAAATTAGCCAGGTGTGGTGGTGTGCACCTGTAGTCCCAGCTACTCAGGAGGCTGAGGTAGGAGGATTGCTTAAGCCCGGGAGGTAGAGGTTGCAGTGAGTCATGATTGCACCACTGCACACCAGCCTGGGTGACAGAGCAAGGCCCTGTCTCAAAAAACAAAAAAACAAAGAAACAAAAAAAACAACTATTGAATGAGTTGCAAAAATACTGGTAAACTTCTTGAAGGCAATGTGATTTGAATGTAGAAATCTAATGCACTCTTCCTAGTTCAAAACAGAAATGCCCAAATATTGATGACCATAAGAAAAAATCTTAAATAGCACTGGAAAAAAGGGAGGAATCCATATTTCCTATCTTTTCAGGATTTTCTACCAGAGACTGGGTGAGAAAAAAGAAAGTCTCCAATAGCTCGTTCACAGTGTTTCTAAGAATTTGTTTCGAGGTTCTAAAAGGAACCTATGAGCAAGAACATCCACTAACACTAAGGGTTCAGAGAAAGCTGTGATACTGATGGGAGATCCTCTCCTGAAACCCTTTACTGCTAAAAATCGTGACATTTGAAATAAACATGTTCAAGAAGCAAAAGGCAAAGTGTCATAGGAAAAAAATCCTGAAATCCAGGGCTTTTTTTTGAACATTTCCTCTCATCTGGGATGAAGATCCAAATAAGCCTGGATAAAGCACCTGGTGAGGAAGTGGGATTGAGGAGAAAGCATGATGTGGAAATCTGGCCCTGGTATAATAGGTTCACCAATTACAGGGAAGGACATAAGATGTATTCTTGCTGGGACTACCTCAGCTGCAGATTTTTTCCTCAGGAAGTTGTATTTTCTTTTTTTTGAGAAGGGAGTCTTGGTTTGTAGCCCAGGCTGGAGTGCAGTGGTACGATCTTGGCTCACTGCAACCTCTGTCTCCCAGGTCCCGGTTCAAGCAATTCTCCTGCCTCGCCTTCCGAGTAGCTGGGATTACAGGCGTGCGCCACCATACCCTGCTAATTTTTGTATTTTTAGTAGAGACAGGGTTTCACCATGTTGGCCAAGCTGGTTTTGAATACCTGACCTTGTGATCCCCCAGCCTCAGACTACCAAAGTGTTGGGATTACAGGTGTGAGCCGCGGCACTCAGCCAGGAAGTTGTATTTTCTTCAGGAGGTTCAGATCATTAAACTACTAAATAAATTTTAAAAATCAAAGGCCGGGCGCGGTGGCTCACGCCTGTAATCCCAGCACTTTGGGAGGCCGAGGCGGGTGGATCACGAGGTCAAGAGATCGAGACCATCCTGGTCAACATGGTGAAACCCTGTCTCTACTAAAATACAAAAATCAGCTGGGCATGGTGGTACGTGCCTGTAATCCCAGCT